AGAGATTGTATGTCTCTGTATTGTTATATCTATATATGTTTTTGAAAACAAAAACCAACCTGCATGTATCATATTTTCTATTTATTATTTTTAGAGTTAGATTTAAAAACCAAAAAATATAGATAAATAATACGTTTATTTTTTTTAATTCAAAAAATATATTCAAGTTGAAAACTTTTTTTCAACAAAATATTTAAACTCTTTTTCAATTGAAAACACAAAGTCTTATAAATTACTAGGGGTGCTCGCGGTTTGGCGGTTCAGTTGCGGCCAAAGGAATCTCAAATCCACCATTGGCGGATTAGAGAAAATCAATCCACAACCGTTCGCTCGTCATCACGTATCCGTCCAAAATACGACAGATCGGTTCGGTTCGGTTCGGTCGATTTTGGCGGATCGGTATATCCGCTACTCACCCCTAGATCCTAATTTGAACAGGAGAAGTTTTGGATAAGTGATATCCTTGTAAAAAATAGAGTTCCATGAAATAAGACTTTTAGGGAAATAAGGCATTGATCACAACCCTATGGGTTTAAGGTGTTCTGAGCTAATGTGTTATTTTGAGCAGATATATTTGAGAGATAAGTTGAATAACTTGATCGTCGACTAACTTGATCGTCAGAGTGTCGCGAGCGACCTTGTTGTCTTTCTGTGTGCAAGTGTTGGGCATCTCTATTTCTGCACATGCTTTACGGCTTAATTCCTAGGATCTCGGCGAAGAGATCCAATTTGATTGTGAGGTCAAAATTCAACATCCATAGATTACACTTATAGTTAAATGAAAACAATAATTTTTTTTATTTTATTACCAAAGTTGAATGTTATCTAAGAGAAAGCCACAAACCCCCCCCCAATCCTCTTTCCAAAACCCAAATTGTCCATAACCTCCGCTAGCCAAACCCCCCCTTTCCAAAACCCAAATCGTCCATAACCTCCGCTAGCCAAACAGAATTCAATCTCAAATACATCAACAATTTTTATTGTCAAGATAGCTGCCACTTTTATTCATTATTAGGGGTGTGCACCCACTCGATGGATATAAATGTTTAACAATTTTTTCTTTCCTCCCCTTTTTCCTGAAGAAAATGGTATGTATACTCTCATCTCTTATCATATTTTCTTACTCAAATAATATATTACTTTGATGAGTTTTGACTTTAAATTATAAAATTATATCAAAATCTATCACATTATTTTGTACATATTTATACATATATATATATATATATATGTCTGTTTACATAATCATTACACTTCTCACCTCTGTAACCACCCCCCCCCCCCCCCCAGTTGGGCTTTCAAGTGGGATGGGATTCAAAAAGAGTAAACAAAAGCCCATTTTTCAATTCGATTCGGATTTAAAGGCAAATGGTGTAAGCCTTGTAAGAACTGCACAATCCGAGCCTGAAAGTCCAAGTACTGAATTGAGTTTGGGCCTTTTGGCCCATTTTGAAGACCAAACTTCTCAAGCCTAAAATTCTAGTAATACAAAAGAATGGTTCGGTTTAGTTAGTCCTTCTAAAATTTACACTTGCAAGGACAACATTTGTTGGTTTGATTGTGGCTTCATTTTCTTTTTCTTTTTTTTTTGTATTTATTTTAATGAAAAACACCACACAAAAAATCTAGTGAACTGTTTCCGAAAATTATTTTGATAATTGCTTTTTTGTTGTTGAAAATAACTCATGTTTTAGAGACAATTAAAAAATTATTTTTGAATTTTTAAAAATTATTAGCTAAAATAAAAATGATATGAAACCAATGGCAACCTAACTTTTAACCTTGGCCATCAGTTCTACAAATTTGACGAAACTAAAGTGGTGAGTTGTTCAGGTTTGGATTGAAAAATTGGATGATAAACTTCTTTATAATGATTTCAAACAATTTAAAAATAATAATAAAATAATTTAATCAAGCCATCACATATTGAGATTGACTAACTTGGTTTTTATATATACCGGAAACTTGAAAGTGTGATAATCGAGTCAAGATTGACTTGTTTTATGGAGTTTGGTGTGGATTATAAGGGGTGATTATAACTTATTTTAATTTAGGAATTTGTGTTAGACTGTTTGGTACAGTTTCTGCTTACAGCTTTTTAGGCAAAAATAGCTTAAATAAGTTAAGAAAAGCTGATTATTTAAAAACTGGGGAAGGGTTGCTTTTGGTTTCTATTTTCTGATTATCAGCTTTTAACTTACAATAAACTGCACCAAACACCCCATTTGTATCTCAAGCCAGTTTTAAATAGGCTTCCTCTAAGGTAACAAATTGTATTTAAGTAGTTCGGTTCATTTTAGAGTCCAGACTTTCATTAAAATCAAAATGAAAAATTAGTGAGAGTTAGCTCAAATGATAAGTCGCTTAAGTTCCAAATAGGAGATTATAAGTTAGAGTCCTGATATCTTACTTTGCTTTATATGCAAGGCAAACGGGTAGTCTAATATATTTTTAGTTTGCACTCGTGAGTTCAAAATATTCTCTTTAGACTGTATTTAGTTTATAAATTTGAAAAATATGTTGAAAAGATTAAAAAAAAAGTATATGAAATATAAATAAAATATAATTATATTTATTTATATTTTATTTATCTTTTCTCTTCTATTTTTAAATTTTTATTCAAATTTATGAACTAAACATAACCTCAAGATTTCGATTAAAAAAAATAATTGAAAAGAGCTTGGAGTGTGATTGTCAATTTGGGAATCGGCCTGCTCATTGTTGGGAGTATTGGGGCTGGGCCCATGTCCACACTAGATCACGTGGCATCAACTATCGGAATGTCGATTTCTATCCATTCAAACCCAACATTTTTTTTAACATCACAAACGTGGATCCTCCACCCTTATTTTTAAAATTTATTATTTCTTAAATCTTATTTATTAATTTATTAAGAAATAAATTTATCAGTTTTTTTATTTTTATTAAATTTATAATAATAAATTTATTAATCAAAACCCATAAATAAATAAGTCTAGTTAATAGAATTGATTGGTATATTTTTCGTATTATCCCTTTTAACTCTCAATGATATTTTCTTAAAACGGATATCAAAAATTCACGTGATATACTATCTGGTCCACGTCATTTCAATTAAGAAATGTTTCTTCATTACTTCCTCTTATTCCTCAAAATAATTTCATGTGATCTTTATTTATATTTTACATTTTAAATTTTAAAAATAATAATTAATTTATTTCAAACTATTAACGTGATTCTTTCACAATACATGATCTTGATCCCTCTCTGTCAGCCTCATCTCTCTCTTCTTTCTCTCATCAAATTTTAATTTGAGTAATGTCCTAGTTTTCTCAGTTATAATCTGTCATTTAATATGGAGATCTTTCGCTGATTTTTCATTGGTCACTTCCACACCAGACCCATTTAGCACCACAAGTTCAGTCTAATCTAACTTTCTGGATAAATCCTGTGCTCAATCATGGCTTCAATTGATTGTCTCCACCAGGGTTGTTTATTTCAAAACTAATTGCCATTGCATTACTTCTCTGTTTTCTCCATTTACCATTGTTGACTTCTTTTTTTAACTGGGTTATCCAATACATAGTTCACTCCGGCCGACGAACAATCCAATGATTTTTTTTTTTTTCTTGTTGAGTGAATCTAGATTCTTTTGAAGAATTTTTAGACAATTGTATTTGTATATTATAATCAGGGCTTATTTATACTTGTAGAGTCTGATCATTTTCTTTGGATTGTATGATAAAGAGTGAAGTAGAAGTTACTGCTAGTTGCTGACATTTGAAAGGTTGTTATTAATGGAGTTGAAACTGTTTGATTCAAAGGCTGTATCGTTGTCTAAGTTGGTTGGTTCAGAGAGCTTGTTTTCGAGCACATTTTTTAATCCAAGGCACTTTGTTGGTCTCAAAAGCTCTCCACAACTCTGTTCTTGCACAGGTAAATTAGTTCATTTACCCAATATTGAATTGTCGTTTTCTTTCTCTGCTTTGCTCAGATTACTCAGAACATGGGAAAAGAATGAAAAAATTAAAAAAAATAAATAAATATTGGTAACTTGTGACAATCACTGCAATCCCATGTTGTTCTATGGTTTTTATGGTATTCACGTTCATTTTCTCTCCAAAAACACAGCAATTGTTAGTCGGTTGTAAGTTAAGATCAAGCCTCGGGTTAGTAGATAATGTGTTGTCCAAGTTGGAGTCTTACTTTGCGCTATGCAACTTTCCTTTCCCTATTTCATCCCTTCTTACCCATTGTTAAAATAAATAAAGAAAAATGAAAAAAAAAAATTTGAATTCTTGAATTTGAACTGCAAGTCCTGTTATGAATTTGAGTTGTTGATGGATCTGAAGCATGTTTTTAAATGATGGTATCGACGATGCAGTCATATATCTGCTAATATTGTATAAAATAGGCTGATTTATCAGTGAATAATGATGTCGGAAGTCCAAAATCCCAATATGTAGATATTTAAAACCCTGATCGGAAGTTGGTTTTTGATTAGGAAGTGAAAAGGGTATGGGATTGAAATAGAAAGTAAAGCAAATGCACAATCCATAGTCAAAGACACATGTTTTAGGTCTCCTTTTCTGATGTTTGAATCATAAATTTCTTTCACTCTTTATTGGGCAAAAAAGCCTGATCTGAACCTTATTAGCTTTATTGATTTAGGATGTCAGTGACTTGTAATCTCACTGTGAGTTCAAAGCTCCATCTATTGAAATTTCAACTTCAAAGTGGATGATTTGCTTCTGTTTCTGTCATGCTTTTTGTATTCAGGCATTTCTCCTAAGGCATCTTATCTGAGTACTTCAAACAAAACCAATAGTTCAGTTGGCCAAGAAAATTTCACTGTAGAGCCTATTCAGTATCACATCAATGAAACGAATGGTTCAAGTTCAAGTCTGTTTTTGAGGGAAATGAGAGTACTTGAAGCATTTGATGATGAGTACGGGGGAGTTATTGTTAATCCTAAAAGATTACCGTCTAATCCAAAAGAATTCTCCTCTATACTTCATTCATCACTTTCTCACTGGAAAACAAAGGTAATTTATCTTCAACTGTTTGGTATAATTGCATTTTTCTTTACGATAGACCTGAAATTTATAAGCTTATTAATCCTAAGCAAAGTCCCAACAGTAGGACTACTTTGGTCATGAAATGATGCACCCATTACAACAATCTTTTAATCAACACGGATGTATACGTGAAAATGGTTTCTAACTCATTTTTCCTTCATAAGCAATTCAGTGATTTTGAGCTATTTTCTGTAAGATATAAACTGTAACTTTTTGTGCTGCATTCACAGAAACCATCACAAGTGTGGCAAAAAAAATTATTTTGTGTTCTGCTTGCAGCCCTACTGATTTTTTTTTTCCCATTAAATTCCTTTTCTTTTTTTTTCTTCTTTTCTTTCTAATTTGTCTGGTGCATTCAGAGTTATTACTCTCTTATGTCATACAATTGCAGGAGAAGAAAGGAGTTTGGCTAAAACTTCCACTGGAGAGATCAGAGCTTGTTCCTGTAGCAGTAAAGGTTAACTTGCATATCCTTAATTTTCACAAAAATCACCTCTCCAGAAACGGAAGCAAGGCTGTATACATCTAACTCCCTAGATCCTGCTTTAGCAAAAGCCTCATGCACTGGGTTGCACTTTTTTAAATTGTTGGAGTTTTGATTGCCAACTCTTCTACTTCTGGTTTCTTATCCGCAAATCATTGCAATTTGTAAAATTAGTAACTTGATTATAGGAAGGATTTGAGTACCACCATGCAGAAAGAGGATATGTCATGTTGACATATTGGATTCCTGAAGGACCTTGCATGCTTCCTGCTAATGCTTCACACCAAGTGGGAGTCGGGGGATTTGTGATTAATGAAAAAAATGAGGTATGCTTGCTTGTGTCAACATTGTAGCAAAGAGAATGCAAATCAAAGCTACAAAACTTGACTTGTCATACTCAGTAACCAAGTTTATAGAGCAGTTCTTTCATAATTGCTACTACTATCTATTACATGTGCCGCCATTAACACTCTAATACAAAGATTTTTAATGATATCATCCACAGGTGCTTGTAGTGCAGGAGAAGCATTATGCTCCAGCACTTGCCGGTCTTTGGAAAATTCCAACTGGTTTCATACTCGAGGTGTGTTTTCCCATCTGAAATTTCAATTTTAATGTTCTTTGATGCATCTAACATTATAAGACTACCAAAGACACAAGTGTTCACATAATTACATTTGATGTGTTAAAGTCAGAGGAGATATTTACAGGAGCTATAAGAGAAGTCAAGGAGGAAACTGGTGTAAGGACTTCATACATAATATATTTCCTCTGTAACTTATTTACCTACTCAGATTTTGTATCAAACAATCTAGATTGTTTTCAATTAATGTTAACTACATTTTTTTTCTTTCCCTTCTTAATTGCAGATTGATACTGAATTTGTGGAAGTCATAGCTTTCAGGTAACAACGACATGGTATTATTGCGCCATAAATATGATCTGAATGAACTGAGTGTATGTGGAACTCAGCAAATAACTATCATCTCAGTTAAAAGGAAATTCTTAATGCACTAACTAGATCAACAACTTATCATTATAGACCGTAGCGGCACATGTTGAAAAAAGGTTTAAAATTTTTGTATATTTGAATCACTTACACCCTCTCTGCCACTCCAATTGCAGGCATGCTCACAATGTTGCCTTCGAAAAATCAGATTTGTTCTTCATCTGCATGTTGAGACCCCTATCAACTCAGATCATTGTCGATGATCTTGAAATTCAATCTGCCAAGGTAAATATAGTCATTAAAAATTTCAGATCAATTTCCTTATCAAGGACAAAAACTTAGAAAGTAGAGGTAATAGCAATGTTACAACTAGTTGGAGCTGATGGTTATTGCCATCTTACTTGTTTTCTCTCGTCATCTCAGTAAAATTTTAAAAAATATACATAATGATGGAAGAATAAAAGCCGAGCAAGAGAAAATTTAAATGTAGGCAGAACATAGGAATGAGCCACAATCCATTACCTTGGACTTGATTGCATTATAACATATTCATTTTCCTTAATACCAATTTGGGTAAGTTCCCATTTGTCATGAACCAGTGGATGCCTTTAGCGGAGTTTGTGGAGCAGCCATTAATCCAAGGGGACAGCATGTTCAAGAAAATCTTTGACATATGCATTGCTCATCTTGGGAAGCATTACTGTGGATTATCTGCTCATCATTTGGTCTCTACATTTGATGGCAGATTATCTTCCTTGTACTATAATGTTGTCGAGGATCAAGATTTCAACTGTCAAGGCAGTTAAAACTGCTCAAAGTACCACATGAAATGTCAATGCTTTCATCAATGATCATCATTATGTGGAATGTATATTTTGTGACGGGGTTTGAAGAGGGCTTGACATTAGTATATTCACTTGATTGCATATTAGAACTGATCATAACATGTAACTGCAATATCTTATCTAATGTACATGTCTTGTAATATAGAATGAAGCTATTATATAAATTCTTATGATCACATTTTCTTTGCTTACTAATATGTTTTCGTGTTTAATCTCCTTCAGATTACGCATCAAATTGAATTGGACTATTGTATTTTGCTTTTCTTTTGAGCTTGCATTGGTAGCCTAAGAAGGAAACATCACCGTCCTATTAAAATGAAGAATCAATTGAAATCCAAACCTGTTTGGTGAAGTGTGTCCGAAACTGTTTTGGAAATTTTCATTATGAAAACAACTCCGTTTTTTAAGAAACACCAAAAAGTAGTTTTAGCATTAAATTGAAAATAATATAAAAATGATGATTGTTTTCAATCTTGTCATTACTTCGTTTCTAAAAAGATGAAAAACGAAAATGAAAGTAATACCAAATAATTATAAAGTCCAGCCCACACTTCTCCTTAAAATCTAGATATTAAGGAGAGGGACCAACTCCAGGTGATGTGAGACACATTCCAACACGTCCTCTTGGATCACAACTCCAGGCGATGTGAGACACATTCAACTATTAAGGAGAGGGAAACTAGAGCCCTGTTATCAGCACAGATGGGAAATTCCAAGCGATGTAGGATACATTCCAGCATATCCTGTTGGACCACAACTCCAGGCGATGTGGGACATATTCCAATACATCCTCTTGCAACCAAGGTTTTCAAAAGAGGCCGCAACCGTTACGTAATGGTTGTGGTGGTTACCGCCACCCGTTACGGCCGCTTTTGCACTGTGATTGAGATTCACAGGTGTGTCAACCGTAGCGGCTGCCGTAGCGGTCGTAACGGTACCGTAACAGCCATAACGACCTATTATGCACCGTTACGTAATAGTTTTGAACTGCTTATTTCGAAAAAAACACACACAAAAAAAGCTAAAAATAGGAGAAGAGGGATAAAGAGAAGAGAGAAGATAAAGGAAGAAGATGGAGGAGCAAGAGATAGAGAGAGAGAAGAGGGAAGATGAAGAACATGTTATTGATTTGTTGAAGCTATGAAACCTATGCTATTTTATTCAGCTACTATCTATCTATACATTGTCTGAAAATAATAATAATAAGTGTGGTCATTATCCATTTGGCTTAGTTAAAATATGTATATATATATATTTAGGCTCTTATTTATCTCTTACTTTTGTCATTGTTTATCTTATATATAATAGTTAGTGATTGATCTTTTGTATAATATACACTACAAAAAAATTGACTTTTTGCAACTGCAAATTGCCGTCGCAAATACTCAAAACGCCGTCTCAAAAATTTTTTTGCGACGGCAACTGACTTTTAGCGACGGCAAAAGGGGGCTCACAACAAAGGGTGTTGCTAAAAGTTTTTTGCGACGGCAAAGTGCCGTCTCCTTTTTTTTGCGACGGTAAGTTGCCTCTTTTGCGATGGAATATGCCGTCGGTAATAATATGTAAAAATTTGAGATTTTTTGAGACGGCACTGTGTTGTCGTCGCTAAAAGTGGTATTTGCGACGACAAAAAATGCCGTCGCTAAAAGTGTTATTTGCGACTGGGGTACTTGCCGTCGTTAAAAGTTATTGAGACAGCATAGACACGCCGTCGCTAAGATATTATTTGCGATGGCAGACAAGACTGTCGCGAAAGGTTTTTTCCAACTATTGGCAATATCTTTTGCGATGACAATGCTAACGTCGAAAAAAAAAAAAAAACTGGTTCTTATGTTTTTTTGAGACGATGTGGTGCCGTCTCAAAAAAAAAAACAATAAAAATATGAAAATTACTTGTATTAAATGAAAAATAAATAAAAAAAGAAACCGATAATTATATAATAATATAAAAATTCCAGTATAAAAACAACAATTTATCCATAATAAAATATTCTTCCATTCATACCAACACATTAGTAAAATTATCCCACTATATAATGTTGCATAATACATGTACAATGTTTTAATACATAATGTTGTTCACAAATCAAAATAACATAAATAAAAAACAAAAGTTTTCCTCATGATTTTTCCGTAGGTAACAAAAACAAAAGTTAGTCGCAATCTAACTCCTGCCTGCATTCCACAAGAAGCAAATTGCTACTCGGGAAACATCTGCAAACAAAAAATAAAAATAATTAATGACAATATAATTATGTGTTAATATTTTAATTACAAAAAAAAACATTAAAAAATTAACTACTATATAACTACAAAGATAATTTAGTAAACAATTTTGGCTAGACAGAAATCCGGCTCTAACTCTTAAACCGGGAACCCAATTGGAGTCCCGTCTTCTCCCACAAGTCTCTCATGCCTAGGCGGTCGTGTGTGCCAAGTTTTGTACTAAACCGACGCCGTTTGGTGATTTTGGGGCATCAACACTTCAAATTCAAATTTCTTAAGGAACTAGTTTGCCTAGACCGAAATCCGGCTCTAACTCCCAAACTAGGAACCCGATTTGAGTCTCATCTTCTCCCACAAGCCTCTCGTGCCTAGGCGGTCGTGTATGCCAAGTTTCGTGCTAATCCGACGCCCTTTGGTGATTTTGGGGCGTCAACACCTCGAATTCAAGTTTCTTAAGGAACTAGTTTGCCTAGAGTGAAATCTGGCTCTAACTCCCAAACCGGAAACCCAATTGGAGTCCCATGTTCTCCCACAAGTCTCTTTTGCCTAGGCGGTCGTGTGTGCCAAGTTTCATGCTACACCGACGCCATTTGGTGATTTTGGGGCGTCAACACCTCGAATTCAAGTTTCTTAAGGAACTAGTTTGAACTAGTTTGCCTAGAGTGAAATCCGGCTCTAACTCCCAAACCGGAAACCCGATTGGAGTCCCATGTTCTCCCACAAGTCTCTTTTGCCTAGGCGGTCGTGTGTGCCAAGTTTCATGCTACACCGACGCCATTTGGTGATTTTGGGGCGTCAACACCTCGAATTCAAGTTTCTTAAGGAACTAGTTTGCCTAGAATGAAATACGGCTCTAACTCCCAAACCGGGAACCCGATTGGAGTCCCGTCTTCTCCTACAAGTCTTTCGTGCCTAGGCGGTCGTGTGTGCCAAGTTTCGTGCAAAACCAACGTCGTTTGGTGATTTTGAGGCGTCAACACCTCGAATTTAAGTTTCTTAATAAACTAGTTTGCCTAGAATGAAATTTGGCTCTAACTCCTAGACCGGGAACCCGATTGGAGTCCCGTCTTCTCCCACAAGTCTCTCGTGCCTAGGCGGTCGTATGTACCAAGTGTCATGCTAAACCGACGCCGTTTGGTGATTTTGGGGCATCAACACCTCGAATTCAAGTTTCTTAAGGAACTAGTTTGCCTAGAGTGTAATCCGGCTCTAACTCCCAAATCGGAAACCAGATTGGAGTCTCATCTTCTCCCACAAGTCTCTCGTGCCTAGGTGGTCGTGTGTGCCAATTTTCGTGCTAATCCGACGCCGTTTGGTAATTTTGGAGCGTCAACACCTCGAATTAAAGTTTCTTAATGAACTAGTTTGCCTAGAGTGAAATCCGGTTCTAACTCCCAAACTGGGAACCCGATTCGAGCCCTGTCTTCTTCCACAAGTTTATCGTGCATTGGTGGACGTGTGTGCCATGTTTTGTGCTAAATCGACGTCGTTGGTGATTTTGGGGCGTCAACACCTCGAATTCAAGTTTCTCGTGCCTAGCCTCTATCCTTTTGGGCTATGTACAGTTAATTTATGGTTATTCTTAGCTTAGAATGCAAAGATACATTTTATACATGATCTTCTGGTGGTGGTGTATATGGATTCTCATCTCCTGTAGATTCCCTAAATGCTCAGTGGCCACTCGATGCATCAGGAACCTATGATAATCAATACATAATGTGTTAATCATATATATATGTACGTATATCTTGTGTAAAAATTTAACTATCAAACAATTTAATTTATATCGAACCTGTCTGTTGGGATCTACACTCACCCCCTGTGACACAAGGGCCATCATCTCAGCTCTCATCTGCTGTAAATGTGTAGAGAACTCTGCTCGCATCTCATCCCTCAGCTCCTCCCTCAACTCATCCCTTAGCTCCGCACGAACCTGCTGGGTGATCCGAACAATAGTCGATGGCTGGGGTGTTGACTGTGATGGCCCAACACTATCTTTATACACCACTCTCTAAGGCACAGTTCTCCCGTATGTGCGACAATATCCATGTCCGTCATGACCTATCAACTCATGGAAAATGGCATTTCTAGCCTCCGAAGTCCAACAATCCTCAGGTAGCATGGAGAGTTGATGATTAAACTTATCCTGTATTGAATAAGACATACAAGTATATGTGAAATTAAGATGGTTAACACACAAAAAATAAAAAACAAACTTTAAATACAATGTTAGGTGTTTGGAAACTACCAAGGTCTAGATAACCTCAGGGTCATCTGTTCTATGTGTCCTAAGCCAAACATTCATCTTATTAGTAGACTCCCCCTTATTGGTCAGCTAGATTTTTTTAGAAATATGAAAATTAGAATCCAAATAATTTGCAAATGTACAATGTTTATTTATATACGAAAATAAACAATAAAATATAAACCTCATACCGTATTTGAACGAAAGTAGTACACCTTGTGGTATGAGCTATGTCGTGAGCTCGCCGATTTTTAGCGTTTCTAGTTGCAATTTTCTATAACAGGTTCAACAAATGTAAGTATATAAATAAGATTTGTATGTTTACATATCATACATATAACTTATTTGTATACCTCAACATCGAAAGTACGCCAATACTTCACAAGTTCTTCTCACTGGCTTGGCACAATGTGCAAAGAAACATCATCCTTCAGATTAGGATCAGAACTTCTAGGCTTGAAATACTTAGTCTTAATCTTATTCTTGTGATCCTTTCATATGTTGTTACAGTTTTTCATGCAGATTGGCTTATACTCCTCTGGACATATATTCAAATTGTCTTATAAAACACAATTTCAAAGTTTAAATAATAATAACACAATTTTGAAATTTGAATTTTTGGACAAAAATATACTTTTACCTTCACATCCTTCCAGATAGCATCAAGAATATCATCAGGCACAGTGTTCCAGTCAAGAAAAGTAAGAGGAACAATGTTACCATT